ATCACGCCACTGCACTCCAGCCTGAGCAACAAAATGAGACCCTAGTGCCAAAAAAAAATCCTTACTGAATGCTCTTGAGCAAACAAAATCTTAAATTTAGATCTTTTAAGTTCAGATAAAGATAGAATGAAAAATTCTCCTAGTCAAGAAAAGTAGTAGTAAAATAGTACTTTACAGGAAAATTATTTTTGAAACAGACCACTTGAACCAGCTTCCCTAACTTTCCCTTACTTGAGGACCAGCGATAGGCAGACTCTGGTGGGACACTTGCTTTACTATTGTTGAAGAGCCCAAACATTTTAGGAAATTAATAGTAGTTCTAATGCCATATGGCAGGTTGATTTCATTTAAGTTTCTAATTTGAGTTAGAAAATTAAATATTGCTATCTGTATTACTAGTTCCCCTTTTAAAGGGAAATAAATTGATAAAATAAATATAGGCACATAGTTAAATATAAGGACACTAAACACAGAAATAGATTAGTTTAAAATATTTTTAAAATTTCCTGAGAAATTACAAAAAAGAAAGTACAACTTAGCCGTAAAAAGGAATGAAATAATGCCATTCACAGCAAGCTGGGTGGAGTTGGAGACCATTCTTCTTCTTCTTTTTTTTTTTTTTTTTTTAAATCTGAGACAGAGTCTCGCTCTGTTGCCCTGGCTGGAATGCAGTGGCGTGATCTCGGCTCACTGCAACCTTCGCCTCCCAGGTTCAAGCAATTCTCCTGTCTCCGCCTCCTGAGTAGCTGGGACTACAGATGCACGTCACTACACCCAGCTAATTTTTGTATTTTTAGTAGAGACGGGGTTTCACCATATTGGTCAGGCTGGTCTCGAACTCCTAACCTCAGGTGATCCACCTGCCTCGGCCTCCCAAAGTGCTGGGATTACAGGTGTGAACCACTGCACCCAGCTGGAGACCATTATTCTAAGTGAAGTAACTCAGGAATGGAAAACCAAACATTGTATATTCTCACTCGTATGTGAGAACTGAGCTACGGGGATGCAGAGGCATAAGAATGACACGATGGACTTCGGGGGAAGGGCGGGAGTGGAGGTGAGGGATAAAGGCTACACCTTGGGTACAGTAATACACTGCTTGGGTGACAGGTGCACCACCACCTGTTCCACAAAAACTATTGAAATAAAAAAATCTACTCATTAAAAAAAAAAGAAAGTACAAAGGAGAGTAAAGAGAGGTACCAGTTACTAGTCTGTAAACAAAACAATACTCCAAAATAGAGATGGTAACCCTGGGTCATGTCATTCACAGGTACATTCTGTGCTAACACCTGTAAGCAGTCAGATAATCACAACTTTAAATCATATTTTTGTCACCTGCTTTCAAATTCCTTCCTACTTTGCCTCTAGAGTTGATTTGTAGGCAAATAGTGTTTTTAGTTTGCTATATCAGCGTAGACTTAATAGCACTTAATACATACATCTTTAACTCACATTCATATTTAGAAACAAACATTTTGAGTTTGATATTCGTGGAATCTACAGTTGGAAAGGATATATAATGTATTTGTGTTTTTAATTGTGCTTTCTATTTGAGCTATTTAATTTATGCTTGAATTCAGGAAAACATGACCACAATTTTTCTAGATCATTGCCCTTATCATTTGAAATATATTTTTATGTTGTTAGTTTCATACTGTCCAATCAGTGTTCTGATTTTAGTTCTGAAATGTCAGATCCAGTGACATTTAAATTGCTTTGAAGGCTGGTCCCCCAGCAATTCTGCCTTTATTTTGAGAGTGGGTAGGTGATAAGAGACTAGACCAAGGACTTTTGGTTTACCAAATCAAAATGTGTGGCTCAAATGGAGGGGTCTAAAGAGCATCCATTTCTGCTTACAAACTTTCAGTATAACCAATGTATCACATAGCAAATGGTGAATGTGGAGATAAAAATATAATTTAGACTGGGCACGGTGGCTGACACCTGTAATCCCAGCACTTTGAGAGGCCGAGACGGTTGGATCACTTGGGGTCAGGACTTCAAGACCAGCCTGGCCAACACTGTAAAACCCCATCTCCAGGTGCTAACGTTGAACGAACTGATGGATAGGAACCACCAGTCCAAGAATCTGTTTAAAGTTCAGACTTATAATAGTGGCAAATAAAAAATCCTCATTTGTGATGGTTTGCTTCTGAAAGAAAAAAAAAAAAGTCTCTACTAAAATGCAAAACATTAGCCAGGCATGGTGATGCACACCTGTAATCCCAGCTACTCAGGAGGCTGAGGCAGTAGAATCTCTTGAACCTGGGAGGTGGAGGCTACAGTGAGCCA